CTGGATAAACTGTCCTGCCATATTTGACAATGGGTCGTGTCTGTTTGCGCTGACACTTGCATGTACTTTCCAAACTGTAAACATAAATGGTTCAGAAATTATTGAAGTGCTAGAAACAGATTAACGTGGATAAGGAATGGAATATGGCTACATCTGAGATGATGCTAAGTCTTGGACTAATTGGTAAGATTAAAATACCCCGAAAATATCTTTTATTATTAGAATATTCTATGTATTAAAGCGATAGTTAACCCAAAAATATAAATTTTGTAATCATTTACTCCTTATGTTTTTCCAAACCTGTATGATTTTCATTCTGTTGAACACACAAGGGGAAGTTAGACAGAGTGACAGCATTATTTGTCAGTCACCATTTGCTTCCATCGTGTGGGAAAAGATGCAGTGAAAGTCAATGGTGACTGAGACTGTCAGTCCCTACTAGCATTCTGTCTTAACATTTCATTTTGTGGTCTGCAGAAGGCCTCATGACAGAATCTACAATTTTGGGTGAACTATCTCTTTAATTACAGAATAATGATTATTTTGTCAGTAATTGCATTCGTCCCCCTTATGCAGAGAAAGATGTAAACGCAGACACGCTTTGGGTTTGGTGTTATCCTTCCATCAGTGCTGATCTGCGAGAGGTTCTGTTGAGAAAATGTTGCCTGCCATTGAATAATCAGGTGCTGCACACATTTGTGTTTGGACAGTACTGCCGAACCTGGTACTACATCACCACTGTCGAGGTTCAGGAACCAACTGCGCTTAAAAAGGTACCAAACTTCATGTTTAGCACTCCACTACCATCCTGAAAGCTTACAAAGCTGTGCTCGAATAATGCTACAGGAATAGATCAACATAAGATAACAATTTTGATCATATGATTGTTTTTTGCTCTGCTCATTCACTTATCTTTATCTCACTCCAAATGTGTATGTCTGACTGTCTTCTGTGGAACGCAAAAGGAGAAGTTTACCAGCATGTTGACACTACACTTTTCCATATAATGAAAGTGATTGGTGACAAGGGGAAGTAAAGCTCTAAAAAGTGACAAAAAGCATCATAACACTAGTCCATACATCAGTTTCATGTGAGGAGAAGACAGAAATCTAAATCATTATTCACTGATAATAATTGTTTCTTATTCACATTTGTGTGTATTCTAATTTGGCAGATTGTTAATGAATAAGTCAACTATTCCTATAATCCAGTGGTGCTCAACCAGGAGGCCCCACAATGACTTAAAATAAAACAAAACAAGCAATAAAATAAACTGAAATAACTGTCAAAATATTAATTAACAACGGTTTGTTTCCTTTAAAGCAGATGGTACGATGAAAATTATGCTAGCTTGCTAATTTACTGTTCAATTTCATTCAAAGGTGACACATTTCTCAATAGTTATCACAGCTAAGGACTTCAACCCTGAAAAATATGCTGCATTCAGTAGAGTCCTGTGCAGGTATGTTTAATTTAAGTACTTACCATTTAGTGCAACCACTTAGTGCTTGTGTTGAGTTTCAGAAATCGGTTTCTTTCAGTAAGCATCTTTTGTTTGTCATCGCACCATTTCTAAGGATATACACTAAGTTTTTGTATGTTTGTGATGTTGCATCTGCATCATTGTTTTTGTTCAGGACGTATATCAAACATGGAAGTCCTGTGAAGATGATGGAATGCTACATTGCTGTTCTGACCAAAGGGATATGCCAGAGTGATGAGAACGGCTCCTTCCTTATCAAAGATTATGATGTCAGGAAGGCCTACCTGGCTGGATCCTTAAAAGGTTAGGGGTGAACCCTTAAAAAAGAACAAGCACTACATACTAACCACAGCAAGAACTGTGCAGCTAAAATAATCTAATCACATACTTTTGATACCATGGCCATTTGCTCCAATTAGCTTTATGGTTGTTATTTTAGAAATCCTCCAATAATGTTTTAATTCTGTAAAAAAATATATGTATTGTATGCAAATTGACTTAATGAGATGTGAAATCTTTATTGTAGATGTTGTGTCACAATTTGGTATGGAGACTATCATCCTTTACACAGCACTAATGTTGAAAAAAAGAGTAGTGGTCTATCACCCACGGATTGAGGCGCTGCTGGAGTTCACAAGGTAACCACGGAAAAGATCATTTAGTTGACATGAAATCAAAATGGACTGATGTTTACTTTCTTCATTTATATTCATGGTCTCATTGTGCATGATTCATAAATATTCATGAATCCAAACCAGAAATATGTCAGATGTTGCAAACAGTATGTCCTGTGTTGCTTTTAAAAATAGCAGGTGTTTGTGGTTATGGTTGCAGTTTGTTTTCTTATGCTCACCAAGGCTGCATATATTTGATCAAAAATACAGTATAAACCGTAACATTATGAATTATTATTACAATTTAAAATAACTGTTTTCCATTTCAATATATTTTCAAATGTGATGTATTCCTGTAATGGCAAAGCTGAATTTTCAACAGCCTTTACTCCAGTCTTCAGTGTCACATTTTAATATCCTAATTTTGTGCTGAAAGAAAAATATTATCATGAATGTTGAAAGCAGTTGTGCTGCTTAATATGTTTGTGGTAACATTGATACATTTGTTCAGGATTCTTTGATGAATAGAAACTTAAAAAATAGAATAGAATAGGGAAAAAACAGTTTATTTCACACTTAGTTCAGTTATATTGTTTTAAATATTTCTCACATTTCAGTTATATTTTTCAATAGGAAAAAAAATTCACATTTACTTCAGTTCTATTTTTTTTCTATTCACATTCGTTATATTTTTCAATTTAGTTATAAAAAATGTGTTACTATTTAAATGTCTTTGTCACTTTTGATCAATTTAATGCATCCTTGCTGAATAAAAGTATTAATTTCCTCATAAATAAATAAATAATATTACTGACCCCACACTTTTGAACAGTATTGTATATGATAATGGTCACACACTAAAAAGTTTGTGGTAACAGTGTTTTTTCTTTTTAAAACCAGAGCTCTTCCTGGATTGGTATGGCATAGAAAAGACTGGTCCATCCTCCACCCTTTTGTTCACCTTGATGATAATGAGCTGGAAAACCTCAAGCTGTGTACAGGTATAGAGAATTTCTTCTTTTTCCACAAAAACTAGCATTTGCTGCTACCTGTATGAATTTCCATGTTCTTTCTCTGTAGGGTATGTTGCAGGGTTTGTCGATCCTGAAGTCAGAGACCGATCAGATCTGTTTGATGTGTATGTTAATCTTTTAGACAGTGAAATCACTGTCTCACAAAATGCCAAAGGTAAGAGATCCAGTGTTACATATTGACTGGGTAGAATTGGGATGTGGTTATTTAAGTCACCATATCTCACTGTAATTTGTTTTCAGAGGCAATGGCTATGGGAAAACTCCATAAAGAGATCGGCAACTTCATTGTCCAGGCAGCAGAGGACACTGATCGCACAGATGCACAGGTTATTAAGGTATGAGTAAGGACACGTTCGAAAATCTCAGCAATGACAACACAGAGTTGTAACATGACCTACATTTAAAGCATTTACATTTACCAAGACTTGGAAATCCTACATGTGGTTTTCATCCAGCCCCTTTTTAAATCTGTCTCCAGGATATTTCAGTAAAAACTAAGGAGATCCTCAGTAACCTGATGTCTCTTGCTGATGAAGCGGAGAACTCTAAATTGACTTTGGAGACTCTGAAGCAGCGGCACTACCCTCCAGCGACTGAAAACTTCCTCTTCCACTTAGCTGCAGCTGAGCAACTCCTTAAGATCTGACCAATCAATGCATCCTGTCCAACTTGCATGTCTCACAGTAACCGATCAGAGAGGAACTTACCATTCATTGTCAATCACACAATGAATTGTAACATTTGCAAGAATCTGTGTCTAACTTCAGGGGTAGTGAACAGGGCAAAAGTTATACAAGAACGGAAATGTATTTCTTACAAAGATATATAAAATATAGCTGTAACATGATAGCTACACCTCATTAGTGTAATTATGTTGAATGTAACATTTCAATGTGATAACAGGTTTGAGATAAATAATTCATAATCAAACCTTTTGGTAACACTTGGATTTATATGCGGTCTCTGCAAACATTCCTGAGGTATCTAATTATTAAGTTGTTCATAACCTTAATTTGGCATGCTCTTTGAACTTTTATAAAATTTCATAATTTGCACATCAGTGTGAAAGGGCTGACAGTTGCCTAGTTCATGCCTAACTAAAAGACTTCTATTATGAAGGGTCCTATTAAATTCAGAATGTGAAGAAATTAATTACTGAAAACCAGTTTTACTTAACTATTGAGTGCCAAAACCTCATCTTAAAGTTATGATGTTAATTAACCTGTCTATTCATGTAAGAAATCTTTCTATCATTATATGTTCAAATGACAAAAGATATTCCCCATGTTAGATGGAACTTTGTTCCCACATTTTGCATTTCCAATGATTGCACATAATATTGATTTTGGCATTACTTCATACATTTTTGTTTAATCACCTTATTAATTTGACAACCCCTTGTTATCAAGGGCTATCCTTTGTGCCTAAACAGATCATAGAAGATATTCTGATCATATGTGTGCAATATATCCTGAAAAAGAGGATGCTCAAACCGTTCTTCTCTGATTTCTTGAAACTGTTTTATCCTTTACACAGAGTCATACAGTGCTGTTTCCTCAAATACTTTGTTAAAGATATATGTGACCATTATATATATATATATAAATAAATGTGTATGTGAGTGGTAACAGGAATTTTATTGACACTAACAGACAGTGTTATTAGCCTGATTTGGTAAAATTCACTTCAGTGCAGTGTTTAAAACTCTTTTTAGACTGAAATGCAGCTATTAAATGAATATGAATTCAAAACCATACAGTTGTACTTCTTCCTTTCAATATTCGGTATTAGTACAGCATTGATTAGTAGCTCAAAAACCCTTGAGAAAATAGTGCATGCTTTTAAAACTTAAAATAACCACCTTTTTGAAATGTTGTTGAAATGCACTGGACTTTAATATACTTTGTTTTCAGTGTCAATAAAAGTCATCGTCAAATAGTAAAGTTGCCAATGGCAACATTACAGTCCTCTGTGGTAAAACAGTTCCCCGTTACTGTCAAGTGACTGAAACGCCTCTTCTAAACTTTCCTTCTTTATCTGCAAATAAAACATAGGTTGAATCTAAATTATGCTTATCTGTGCTGGTGATGGATAATGTGTTTTTAATGAAAACATTCAGAGAATTGATGAATGCATTTCCGAAATTAAAATGATAAAGTATGACAACCTGGTTTGTTATGAATGTGTGTTACCTTGCCAAACTGTGGAAAAAGACTGAATGACACGGGAATCATCAGGCCAAAAATAATGGCAGTACTGATGTGCCGAACAGGAGCGATTATCATTGGGTTCCTTTGGACAAACTTTGCCCTGAAACATTGACAGCAGATTTCACATCCTCACACCATCAAAACTTTTAAGTAAAATGGAAAGCTAATCGTTTTGACTTGTACCTTTTAAGGAGAGCCAGCAGTAAAGTAGGAACAGCTGCAGTGGTGCCAAAGAGAGCCGCTCTTGAAAGGGCCGTTTCCTTTATGGCCTGTGACCAACACAAATAATACATATTTAAACAGTTTAAAGATAAGCAGCTTTGGTGGCACAAAGTTTTATTGCAGTCTCACCTTAGATCCAGCTGCCTTCGAGAGTCCAATGGCATTTCCGTTAGAATCAAACACTCGTATTCCATTATCGGCCTCTTCACTTCTCACCACCATTACACTGAATGCAGCTAGACAGGCTAGAAAACCACATGTTTGGTTAGAAACATTTTAAAACCCTAGAGGGCACACTATAGCCTGGAATATGTATGAAATGGAGCACTCAGTATGAACAGACTCTACTGTAGGTGTATTGTGTGCATTTGTTTACTGGTGTTCTTACCTGAGAGAGGAATAGGTAACAATGATCTAGAGAAGTTCTCAGCCACGGCACCGATGAGTCTAAAACGCTTGAGTATAATCTGAGGAAGAGCCTGAAAAGAGAGCATATTTAATTTAATTAATTTTAGTATTTCCCACCAAAACATTAATTAGAATGAGATTTTATTGCATTATGATAATGGTAATTTGGAGAAAATGTCTCGGTTACATGTATTATCTTGCATTATTATTTTTAATACACATCTGAATGGTCCTAAATTAGGATTTAATTTCTTTAAGATTAACATAATCACTTGTTTCTTTCTTTTTATGTTGGAGGTGTAAAATGACCCGGACATGACAGGTTTCATGAGATTCTCACACCTGCTGAACAGTATGTCATCAATACACCAAACATAAAATCATTAGATGAAAACGTTTATTGACTGAGAAGCCAGTACTGTGACAAAAATCTCTCTTACCCCTGCAAACGTTGAGTAGGCAGCTGTTCCAACAATAAGAATGGACTGCTTCATTGACGTTTTGTTATCCTACGAAAAAAAAGTGGAATAACTGTGGATAAAATAGTCTGCCAAGTTACACAAAGATCGTTATTTTATATTATTTAAATTTAATTAAAGAAAACTATTGTTTACCTTAGTCGCTGTTGCATTTCTGTTAGCATGGTTGAATCCTGCACAGTATGTCTGAAGCAAAAACTACAGCAAAAAATGTTACAAAAATTGTTAGTTGACAACAAAAGACATAAATGAAGACATAAATGTAGAATGTACTTACTTGCCAGAACAATGCAGGTTTGATGCCTTTGTGGGGTATTAAACTTGCAACAACCTGTAGAAATAAAAATAGATGGAATCTTTCATTTCAGATTATAAATGTACATTTTCAACTCTCAGTGCGTTGCTTTACATTGTAAGCATAATCTCAGGACATTTTGAATTTTAGAACTCACCAAGGGAGCAGATATAGGTAGAAAAACTGAAAACAAAAAAGAAGCAGATGTGTCATCAGATGGCCAACATAACATTTTCAGTTCTTCAACTGCATTAATGACACAAACCTTAAAGTTTTTTACTGTACCTTGAGAACGAAACACTGGTGAGATTACACCTCCAGTATCAGGATGGACAGATGACTAAAAGAGTGTAACAATATTAATGACAAAAATGTGTGAAATGTTTAAAAATGTTAATGATTTAATTTAGGGCAAAATCAAACTGTCTTCAAACCACATTTGGACAGCCAAGTCATGACTCGCGCCTTTAACCAACATGCCAATGATTGAGATGGAACAGACACATCCCACACTTTTACCTGCTATTACACATTTGCTTACACAAATGTTCCATCTGAATCTATTTATATTTAGATAATTAAAATGACACAATTATAATTTATTTGAGAGACAATGGAAGAAGCAGGAGATTGCAGTAAAACACAGGTGAACACAGTGAACAAAGTAATCCAAAATAATTTATTCTTTTAGCTCTGTAGCCTATTTTGTCCCATGTCCAAAGAATCAGTGATATCTACACATTGTTTGTCATGCTCACTTGAAAAACGTAAATTCATAAAAACTTACAAGAGACAGTAACCAGGCATTAGCAACCTATAGAGAAATAAAGAAACAACACTGTCAAGTTTTCAAATTGGTACTAAAGAAAGCAAAGTTAAATGAACACACAAATAAATACTAAACATATTAAGCAGTCTACTTTTTCCTTTCTTTGTGTATGTCCCTCATTCTGAAGAAGTGTCCGGGCCTGCTCAATTTCAGCCTAAGGAAAAAAATATCGGGTCTTTTGTTGTCATTTATTAATGGAAACAATGTTATAAGCAAGGAGCAAATACCACAGCGTTTGTTTCATTCTGTATGGTGCACGTGATACTGTTAATATAGGCTTTGCATTAGAAGGCTGTACTGGGGTGATTCATGATATTATTGTACATAAGCTGATGGAGCGATGCATGATGCAGCAACTCACCTGTGATGACAACACAGAACTGGGGTCGAGGATTTTGAACCAGAGACGCAGTCTGCTTAGAAAAGACTACAAAATTGTGAATTTATTAATTTGTCGCTGATATAATTTTCATTAAGACAAATTAATCAAAACATGATTTTTACTGAGTACGCAAAGACACACAAGTACCTGTCCATTGCTTTGCCAGTACTGTAAGTTGGGGTCCATTTTAGCTTTTCAACGAAGGTTCTACAATCATTGCCAATTCATTTTTTGTTGCTTACAAAAAGATGAACTTGTGCATGTATTCTTCTTCTTCTTCTTCTTTTCCCACTTAAAAGGTGCATTTCCGCCACCTACTGGACTGGAGTGTGGAGCATGACGTATATTGGTGACAGCATATAAAAAATAAAATAATAATATAAAAAATAAAAAATAAAATAAATCAACTTGTGTAGGTCACGCCGATGAGACATGCTTCAACTCAGCTGCGAGCCTGCGACGCTTCCGCATGTCACGTGCTCAGACGTTATCCAGTTACATTCTAGCATGATCAGAGTGAGAACTTTTTTCACTAACGTACAAGAAAACGAAAAGAGGCCGTCTTGATACTTGGCCCAAATTTACCTTTAAATCAATCCATAGCATATTTTTTAACATGTAAAAATGAACAGTGCTGTATGTTGCACATTGCATTGTTATGTATCAAAAATACATAGAAATGCTTTGTTAATCGAGTATGAGGATAATTAATAAATAATTATTTGCTTAGAATGTAGATAATTAACCCTATAAAGCCTACTGTATCAGTTTGATGCATGCATTTCTAAGGACTTTAAATTATCAACATGATCAGACTTTGCCTGTTGCACACAATCTATTACATGCCTTAAAATACCTTTTAGTATAATTCTAAAAATGTCCACCTTCAGGTCGTGGTACATGTGTCCTTTGTTTCATCTTATGTTTTGGCCCATGCCATATAACAGCAGCTGGATATTTTTGCTGTAAATTAACGTGTTTTCCCTCCTCGAGTGACCTCCATATTCTCACTATTTAACATGAGCCATAAAACCCTGATGAATCAAATATGATTTTAAAAACTTGCAAAATTGCATGTAGGGGTGTGTGTGTGTGTGTGCTGCGCAACTAATGCAAAATGAGTGCGCAGCTTTGATGCTCAAGGTATTTTTTTGCGCATTGCATAAGCACATTGGCAAGATGGCAGCCACCATCGGGAGACTTTTCGGGACTTCTGTAAGTTTAATTTAGCAGTAACGTTAGCGATAGTAACACTTTTGCTGCGAACGATTGTCACGAGGAATAAGTGTTGATTTGCATTTCAGTGCAAATGTGATTTAGTTTGATCCTGTTAGTCATCGTTTAGTTAGCTGATACGTTTTACGGTGTAACCTTTAAACTGATTATATAACGTCCACTGTCAAATAACTGTCAGACTAATTACCAGTAGATAAACAATTGTTAAGCATAGCTATACTGTGCAAACCTTTTTTTTTATTATTAAATGATAATAAGTAAATGATTAACAGTTTAACAGATTAACAGTTTGATGTATTTTAATCTAACATGAAAAGTAGTCAGTTTTTGTTAGATAAATGTATATAAAACATTTGTGCGTCGCTTTAAAAAGCACTCAAGTGTACAGCATTCGTGCAATGTGCCACTTATTCAGTGAGCCTGTATAGTTTTAAATATTTTACAATGTACATATGGTGCACGGGCATGGTGATAAACATGTGAAACGACTTTCATGCATGTCCCTCCTTTTCACAACAGGCAGGAAGAGCTGCAGTTAATGGAGTGAAAGCCTTGGTCACTCACAATGGAGCATCAGTGATCAGGGCTCCAAAACCCCTTGCGTGCATTGCTGCACAAAAAGCTTGCTTCTCAATCAGTAAGTCTTAGAAAGTAATGAGATTTTTGCCTTTAATTAAATCTAATATCTTTACTAATCCATTATGTGTGTTTGTAAATATCAGGCTCTGCTAGATGGGCCCCAGCGGTCACTCAGCCAGCCCCTCACTTCAAAGGCACTGCTGTTCTCAATGGAGAGTTCAAGGAGATCAGCCTAGAAGATTTCAAGGGCAAATACCTGGTCCTTTTCTTTTACCCACTAGATTTGTAAGCAGCATACTTTTTTTTTTTTTCATTTTCTTCCTAAGTTTGTACATGTACAATTTATTGTTTTTGTACTACTGAATCTACAGCTTGATGCATAGAATTTAGTTGTATTTTAAAGTATTTAAGTAAAGTTCAATAGTATAGAACCCTAATAATTTTAAAAATAACTTGGAAAATCTGAGACAAACTCTCATCTGAATTGTGGAAATACAGCATGCACTCATCATGCTTAAGACTGCCTTATTATAGCTATATAACATTCAAAAGAACAGAACTTCAATTTTAATTATTTTTTAATAATTTATTCAAATAAATATGTATTAATTTGATCTCCATTTTAATTATATTTTTAAATGAATATTTAATTATTGTCAATTATTTACTGTTAAATTACTTATTTTTCTAATGCTTCTTAATTTCTTCCTACCTGGCAGCACATTTGTTTGCCCCACAGAGATCATCGCTTTCAGTGACAAGGCCAATGAGTTTCGTGATATAAACTGCGATGTAATTGGTGTGTCTGTGGACTCTCACTTTACCCACCTGGCCTGGACCAACACCCCGAGAAAGGTTTATACTTTACTTTGAAAAGGCCATGTACACATTGCAGCTAAACAAAGTTAAAATGCACATTACAGTTTAAACACATTCTCAGCTCTCTAAATAGGATCAGGTTATTGGGAAACTAGCAACAGAAATGCCCAATTCATAGGAAATCTTAAGCTCACAGACTAAACTTTTGGTTCATCTGTAGAGTGGAGGATTAGGGAAAATCCACATTCCCCTGTTGGCTGACCTCACAAAGCAAGTGTCCCGGGACTATGGGGTCCTGCTGGAGGGTCCTGGAATTGCTTTAAGGTAACATGAATTTGCTGCACTTTTACAAACAAGTTCCTACAAGTTCTAGTTCCTATATGTTTTCATGCATTGTTAGACTGCATAATTAGCTTTTCAGGAGGAATGTATGCATCACTAAATGATGTTTCACGTTATAGGGGTCTTTTCATTATTGATCCTAATGGAGTGATCCGACACATGAGTGTAAATGACTTGCCGGTTGGACGCTCTGTTGAGGAAACCCTCCGTCTAGTCAAGGCCTTCCAGTTTGTGGAGACCCACGGTGAAGTCTGTCCTGCCAGCTGGACCCCAAAGTCACCCACAGTGAGTATTTACTGTTTTTACTAGTAGTATAAACCTGTGCACTCTTTATAAACTGCAAGGGGCCAGTCACCTTAACACTTTCCGTTCAATTGAGTTCCATTCATATGTATGCGAATGCGGGAAACCGGAAACATAAATGCAAATCATGTAAATTTCGCTGTGCATTGTCCATAGACGTTTTGCACTCTCCAAGTCTAGTGACAGCAGCTTTAGTTGTTGTGAATTGGTAGTATTTGGCCAGCAGTGAACTTAGTAACTCTGTCATGGCCATAGATGTGGAATGTAAGGGTTTGTTGATGTTTTGGCTTTGCATTTATGTAATTGCCTTTTCTGTTTGTTTTAGATTAAGCCAACTCCAGATGGCTCAAAGGAATACTTTGAGAAGGTCAACTGAAAACTCAAAACTACTGGTACTGACAGATCACGCAGACCTTAGCACTAAAACGAAGCAAGCCCATAATCCATAGCCAAAATAAATAATTACTTATAGACTTTATGTATCAGTATGTTGGCAGTTATTAGAGATCAGATCTGTTTTGATTTATGTATTTGCTATGCTGTCCAAATAAAAACCGCACTGTCATGGATTTGTCGCTTTGCCATAGCAGATGCTTTCAATTCAAAGTGCTTCACTTTGAAACAAGCAAAGAATGTTTGACATTTTGATTAAAGATTGTGAGGTCAAATAATTTGTAAGCACAGCAGCTTAAAAATTTGCCCTTTGTACAAAAGAGGTTGAACGACCTAGAGGTTAAAGTAAATTTGAGGGCCTACCGGTGAGTTCTCTGCTGAAAGGTACAATGGTGTAGAGACTCTTAACCAAGACTGTCATCATATTACAAGTTATTTAGACAAACACACGTAATATGTTAAAGACAGATGAAGCTGTCATCACACCATTTGTTTATTCTACTGAAAAGTGCAATCAATTACATACTCATTTGTGTGTAATTCTTGTAGTTCCCATCAAGTACTCGGCTGTCCTTGGGCAGAAATTTTAATTAACTTTTCCTTCATATATAAACCATGCCTACATAACCTCAAAAACAATCTTTATTTCTTTTTTTTTTCTCCTTTTTACAGCAAGTTAATATTGTGTTTAAAATGTCTCTTTAGACTTCACATGGAACATGACATGAAGAACCAGAAATAAAAAAAAATTAAACTGGGAGGAATGAGGTTTAGAAAAAGGCTTTGCCACTTCTCAAACATTTTTTTTTTTTTTGTAGTTACATACTGTATTTACACAATGGAACGTAAGAAAAATAAGAACAACAGCTTGGTCTAAGTGTGTCTCCACTTAGTAACCATGAAAACATCTAGTAAAGTGTACAATAACTTCACTTTGTACAGTATGTCTGCAGAGATTTAGCATGTGTGCCTAAATTGTGACATTCACAATTTTGGTTCAGATCATGAATACGAAAATAAGCACGAGAGAGACGGCTGTCCAAGACAATGAATAGCCTTTCAACTCTTTAAATAAACCAAAAAAGCTGATGACTAACTCCTCTGAGCAGCACAAAGTCAATGAAGCACTTATTTTTGAGACCGTTCTAAAAGATGCTAATGAACAAGGGTAGTGATGGGGGTCACCTAAAGTGTAATGATGCTTAAAAACAAACAAATAGAATCTGATCATATGATCTGGTGAAAAATTCATGCAATATCAGGCAAGATGTAACTGTGCCACCAAGCCCACCCCAACCTTCAAAAAAAAAAAAACTAATGAAAAACCTTAAACTGACTGTCCAAAAAAAGAAAGAAAAGACACCCTTTAATAAATCTGTACAACCAAAATACATTTGGGATCTACATCTACAGTTACATTATTAAGGTTATATACATGGCCACCCACCTCCATATATTATCTTTACGAGCAGACTTCATTCAAACCCAAACAACAACATAAGACTGAACTGGAAAAAGAAATATCACATCACACAACCCATTAAAAACAATCTGCCACCAAACCATCATTTCAGATCATCAGTCTCACTAGAATCTGTTGCGGATAGCGAACTCTATCTGATGTGCCAAGAT